GAAAGGCGCGCCCCGCCTCGCCCCGCGCCGCGTTCACGAGCACGAGCACGAGCACGAGACTCGGTGTCGTGGAGCGCCGAAGCGGTCCCGCGGCTGCGGCTGCGCGGTTCACTTTCGCGAACTCGGTCGAGGGTTAGAAGAAGTGCGGCGCGGGAGATTCTCAGCTGAACCGCCCTTAATTCAGCGGGCGTCGGACGTAGCGCTCTGGTTTCTTTCCCGCTTGACAGGTCGCGTCCGTTAAATCAAAGGCAAAAAGCACCGTGTCCGTCCCTTACGTACACGGGGGCAGGTTAAGGAAATTTGGATTTAAGGGACACTCCGTCACCCGAGCGGTGAGGTGGTTAAAGTGAGGCTTTGTATAGTTACGCTTTGGCTTTTTCGGTTTTGTGGTTAGTGACGTTTTGACAGCTTCTCTTTGGAAGACCGTTCAAGGAGCAGGGACAGCCGCGGAAATCAAAGTTGAACCGCTCCATATAATGCAGGAAATATTAATGGGGAGTCTGTTTTCTGCAAAGTGAGATAATTTCAGACGAGAAGGTGGCAACGGCCTTCCCTAACACCCGAGGCCTCCTCCAAAATGTACTGCTCAACTTGATCCCGCCCATGGAAGTCTTCAGGAGAAAGAGTCCCGCGCAGTAGAACGTTTCTGCCCTCGGCCTTCAGATCTCCGACTGCAAAACCACTGTGGTTTAACTCCGGGCTTGAGCTTCTGCGATGACGGTTCTCCCGTCCAGAAGTACCTCCGCTGAGTTTCAGCGAGGCTTCGGGGAGTTAAGCTGCAGGTGGTGGACCCTGTGGATCAGTGTGCGTGTTGGTTGACCCCGCCGTGTCTGTCTGCACCCCCTGAGGCCTAGCCGTGCTGTGGCCTTGCCTTGTGGCCACAACACGTTTATCTAGTTAAGGGGAACTTTAACTGGGGATGCGCGTGGTGGGGTAGTAAGGTTTCTTGCTTTTGAACGTTCATGTTAGACTTTTCCAGGCAAAACGCAGAGGGTATTAAATGGAAAAGAAGCCGGCGTGATGGGGAAACTAAATGAAAATTTTTAAGCTGTTGCTGCAGCTCCTTTTAGACGCCGTGCTAAAGCAGCATTTTTATCCGCTCTCAGTCACACTTGCTTCTCCTTGGTCCTTCCCAGTTGTGGGAGCATCTGAGCAAACTAGAGAAGCGTATTAATTAATGGCACAATTAGAGAATCGTTAATTTGGTGCATTGTGGGGAATAACCACCAAGCTGTTGGATGCCGTGGGTGGTTAGAGGGGACGTTTATGTTGGCTAGAACGAGGGAGTTTGGGCCGTTTTCATTTGTTTAAACAAATCTCTTCAGTCTTCAGGATGTGCTTATGCAAGATTCCAGGCTTTACCTTATCTTTGAATTTCTTTCCATGGATCTCAAGAAGTACTTGGACTCTATCCCATCTGGACAATATTTAGATCATATGCTTGTTAAGGTAAGAAAGGGTAAAATAAAATGAAAAGGAGGTTCTAAAAAAAATGTTCTCTTGCAGCTCATTTCTGCTGTGAGCCTCTTAGAGTTGAAATTGGTCGAAGCAGCCTAAAAGCATGCAAAAGTTAATAAAAAGGTCATTGCTCTCCCCCCCGCTTTTTTGGCCAAGGAACCCCCGCATGATAATTGCAAAGCCCATCATCTGTTAAAGACAGCTGGTGTGAAGTCCGCTGTGAGCCAAATGAGCTCAGAACTCCTTACTGCTTTGCACTCCTCGAAAAGCATGCAGTGCTCTCCTTAATCTGTGCTCAGGGACATCCATAAAGACATGTTTGTGACAAAGCATCACACAGTTCTGTGACTTACAGACTTGCATCGGAAATGCAAGCATGTAATCTTGGTGCTGGCTGATGAGGATGATGCCTGCCAGCGTCACTGCACGACGCTGTAGCTGGCTGTGGGTGCTGCTGTCTCCACCTCAAGCGAAGAATGTCCTAAGAGAAGCCAACAGATCCTGGAGACTGTTTCTGCCCCACAGGACCTCCAGGAAGCTTCAAATGTTCCAAGCTGACGGTGCTCGGGGGCTGTTCCTGCCCAGTGACAATTGCTTTTCCCAGAGGCTCAAGCCCACAGCTGGCAGGCTTCTGCAAGTAGGCCAAGGGATGGGCGCAGATTGTAGGTACCCGCTGTGGCCGATGGCACTTGTGTTTTCCGTGGAAGATGACCCACCTCTACCGTCTAGCGTTAGATCCGCAGTGGATCTTCGCGTGTCTCCCATGAAGTCCATCTCGGGGAAATGTTTGCGTAGCCACTTTCTGAAGTAGCCTGTCTTTGCTCTTGTAATTCTTTCAGAGCTACTTGTACCAAATCTTGCAAGGTATCGTGTTCTGTCATTCAAGAAGAGTTCTGCACAGAGACTTGAAACCTCAGAACTTGTTAATTGATGACAATGGTGTGATTAAACTAGCTGACTTTGGGCTGGCTCGTGCCTTTGGCATCCCTGTGCGTGTCTATACACATGAGGTAAGGGGGCTTTTGTGGCTCCTTTGTGTTGGATCAGACCCTCCCTGAAGAGGGTAATGCTTCTCCCTGTGAACGGCACGTGCTGTGTTGTTCCAGCTCTCTCTTTCCCATAGTGGGGCACTCAGGGCATCCACCTTTGGGGGCAGGCAAGCATTCAACTTTAGGAATTGCGAAGAGTGGCTTTCTGTTGCCTGGGAAATATTGCCCATCTGTCTAATGTTCCCCCCCCCCAAATATTATAAAAAAAGGAGAGAACAGCCTCTCTTCTTCCACAAGGGACGTAATTTATGTCCTGCAAATGCTCAGCTGAGGCTTCCATCAAGAGTTTTCTCTTTCTTCACACTCGCGCCTACCCAAACACGTGGCTGAAAGAAAAGACACGGCCCTTCCCAGTTGGGAGCTGTGGCCATCAAGTGGCCTTTGGTGCATAACCCCTGAGGAGATGTGGTCCTTCACAGAGCAGAAATAGAGAACTTTTTTCTCCTCCATCATGTCCTCTTCTGAATCATTTCCCCTGGACTGAGGTGTCCCAGTTGGTTTTTCTCATTGAAAAGAGGCGAAAAGACACCGATGGCTTGCTGTCGGGGCCGCTAAAGCTGAAAGGTGTATTCCCGAGATGGCTGCTGCGCACAGACATTCGGCAGCAGCTAATATTGTGTGTAAATCGTGCTCAACTCGAAACAGCGCAGAATCTAGCTTACTTTTTTAGTGATAGCCATGCTAACGTGGGCTCGTTAAAGGGAAAAATGGGATAGAGAGCCTATTAATCGTTCATCCTGAGCAGTTTAGGTTGTAGCCAACTCAGGCCCAGACCTGCCCCTTAACTTTATGAGGTACAGACAGAAAGATTCTGCCTTTTACAGGAAATAAAAGTAGCGGGTAATAATCCTGCTTGGTGCTTCCAAAATGGGTTAGAGCTTTTTTTGAAATAGCTTCTAATGGCTGATTTCTTGTGCCAGGTTGTAACCTTGTGGTACCGATCCCCAGAAGTCTTGCTTGGCTCTGCCCGCTACTCAACACCCGTAGATATATGGAGCATCGGTACCATATTTGCAGAAATGGCGACCAAGAAGCCGCTCTTCCACGGGGACTCGGAGATCGACCAACTCTTCCGGATCTTTAGGTATTGAATGATCCTTTGGGGTGCAAAGAATTTGCAGCTTGCGCGTCAGCTTTGCGTGCTGCCCGTCTGAGATGGATCGCTCTGGGGTTACCTGGTGAATTGGGACCTGTCTGCTTGTGATTTCCGCCCTCTGTCGTGGCAAGCGACCATACAGGTGGTCGGAGGGCGTCTGCGCTGACCCTTGGGAGCTGCTGCTGGGCTCGACGGGTTGAGCTTGCTGTTATGTCTGGCCAGGGCTGCAGCCTTGAAGGACAACTGCAGACGAGTTTAGAAGCGTGAAACAGCGTTTTTTTCAGGCCACGATGTTGCCGAAAGAAAAAAGTCAGCCCGAAGTGCACGTTAAGCAGAATCCACTCAAACACGTTGCCAGCTGCGCCTCCTGGTGTGGGGTGGGCCGATCCAAAGTCCTGCCAAGTTCAGGGCAGGAAAGGAAGTGCGCGCGCACACATACACACACACCCCCGTTGTATCCTATTCCTTCCAGCTGGACAAAGGGAAGCAAAATGAGGTTCTCCTGCTTCAAGGTGGTTGCCTGTTTCTTCCCAGTTCTGGGGTGCCCTGGGGAAACGGGGAGGCACAGCCGAGGGAACCCACCCTCCGAGGGTGGGACTCCAAAAGCCTCCTTTCCTCTCAGGTCTCCTCTGAGGGCAGGTTCAACCCACCTTTGTCTCCTTTCCCTTGTAGAGCTCTGGGGACCCCGAACAACGACGTGTGGCCGGAAGTAGAATCCCTGCAGGACTACAAGAACACTTTCCCCAAATGGAAACCAAGTAGTCTGGCGTCTCATGTGAAAAATTTGGATGACGATGGCCTGGATCTGCTTTCTGTAAGTGACTGCGCGTTCTCCTGAGGGACGCACCCAGTGCTTGACCTTGAAATGTCCCATCCGCAAAGCCGCCATTTTGGGTGTTCCGAGCAGGAAACGAGATGTTTGTTTTGCTGTTCCTGGGTTAGGCTGGGTGGCCAGGCCAGAGCCACAGCCCCGAGCGGCCCAAGGAAGTGGCTGCTGGTCCGCAAATCTGTTTGATGAATTGCTGCTTGGAGAGGCTAGGATTCACTGTGGATTATATTTATAAATGGCTCTTCATACAGCCATTTGCTTCAAACACAAGGGTGTCCCTAATACAAGTGTGAAGCCTGCCGGTAAGAACGGTTTGGTTGGCTTGCGCCTTCTGAATGAAGGGACGTGCGGTTCCACTGGCTGGAATATTTGATTGTCCGCCCAGTTGTTCTAATAGATAAAATAGGGTTTTCCTGAGCCAGATAGGTGCAGATGAGATGCCGTTGTATAATCTGCCACGGGCAAGGTACCAGGAAGAGTTCTAGCAGATGAGATCCAGTCCAGCGTTTTCCCTCCTGCAACTACGCGGTTAAATTCTTCTTGGACGTGGAGGTCTTCCTCTGCTGTTCCTGCCCAGCAATTGGGATGTTTGGTGTGCAGGCGTTCCTCCATCCTGGCACCTCCCGGTACTCTGTAGTGCAACAGAGCCGTCATTCGCAGTGTCTCCGTGATGGGCTGGCCAGAAGGCTGGGTTAGGGTCAGTCTGGCCTCCAGTGGTGCTCCACGGCCTACCACAGGCAGTCATTACTGATCGTGCTGTTTGTGCCATTTATGAACACCCTTTAATCCCTTTTAGAGGTTTCTGAACCCTGGTTCCCGCTTCGTCTTGTAAGGGGTTCATCCATGGCGACGAGAGGCTATGCAGCTTGTCTGAGTTTGGCTTAGCATAATGTGTAAACTTCGCTCTTGTGGTTTGTGAATCACGGCTTATGACTTAGAATTATATGGGAACAAGTTCGTTATGGATTTTTAGTAGACCAGGTGTGAAACAAACCATGGTTTAGTCAAATCTAGCGTTACCTATGAGAGACATCGCTCTACTTTCTCCACGGTAGGCATAATCTAGGACATGTTTGTGATTCTGGCTTTCCATGTGCCAGCTTGTTTTGAGGCACTTCCTGTGAGGTTGTGTACGGCAAATCTTCACAGACTGCGATCTATTAAATTGCTCCAACATAAAGAAGACGTTGCGTTCCTCATCTTGCGTTAGGCGAAGGGAATGACTGGTGGGCGTACAGCGGGCACTCCTTTCCTTTCTCTGCTCGGCAGCCACGCGGGAAGGCCCGTGGCTCCGGCACAGGACCTGGGGCCCCATCGAATAGAGTATCTGCCCACAGCCTGTCCCGTGCTGGCCACCAGCTTCCCTGCCCTGCTTTATTTGCTTTAGGGGTTTAGGTCCTTTCAGTTAACGGTCGGATTAGCAGCCAGGCTGTCGCAGGGCAGCTTAAGTTGGAGTTCCAAGAACCCTCGTGGGGCCCACGGAGACCCCAGAGGCACATTTAGAAGCTGAAAATGGGCGTTCATTGCGTCCGGTTAGGTGCTTTGTTTGGGGGTCAACACCTGTCCAGAAACAGGACACAACTGTGCTTACCTGGCAGCCTTGGACAGGGAGGGAAGAAGCATCAGCAGAGAATAACCCAAAGCGTTTCTCTTCTCTTCTCTTCTCTTCTCTTCTCTTCTCTTCTCTTCTCTTCTCTTCTCTTCTCTTTTCTCTTCTCTGGATGCTTTGTGACTGGCCATTTTGCAAGTGTGCCCGTAGCATGTAATCTAAATGCCAAAAGTGGCCTGAAGAGCTTGGAGACCCTTTGAATTGGGACTGAGGAGTATGGGCCTATCTGCTGACAGGTCCCTGCTCTGCAAAAATTAAAAGGCCAATGCTGGAAGGAACCGAAAGCTCTGAGCAGGAAGGGGTGTGACTAGGCCTCCCCCTGCCTCCCAGGAGAGCAGGGCGGCTGACGATGCCACTGTCTGCCTCATCTAGCGTGAAACGCACGGTCCCGGGGACACCCATCGCTCCATCATTCTTGCCTGTGGACTGTCGGTGGGTGACGTGTTGCTTTGCCTTTGTTCCGGCTTGCAGAAAACGCTGATCTACGACCCGGCGAAAAGAATCTCTGGCCGCGTGGCCCTGAATCACCCGTACTTTGATGACCTGGACAAATCGAAACTTCCAGCCAATCGGATCAAGAAATGCTAACTCTTGGTTCGCAGAGAAGCTGAGGGTGTTTGCTGCGAGAATACCGAAAGCGTTGCTCCTGTTTTTTATACGTGTCTGTCTTGATCTGTTCTAAAATTATACTGTTTAGAGTGCTCTGGTTTAGATCCTCCTCAAATGTAAATATTAACCGATCCAGTCCTCAATAAAGTTGTGAACTGTTAATTATTCCCACCATTATATAAATAAATCCTTCAAATCTAGGGTCAGAGTACAGAAGACGTTTGTTTCTTCCGCTTCGGATGCTCAGCGCGGCTACAGGAAGAGGGCTGAAGGGCTTGGCCTTGGGGAAGCAGGTTGGACCAACCTGAGATCTCCCGCAGGCGCAGGGTCCGCTCTTCCTGTGGGGGTGAGCTCTGTCCCATGAAGTCCGGGGCTTGAGGCTGGTCCTTGCGTGAATCTCTTGAGCGGGAAAGAACCTGCTCAGCTCCATTGTGCGCGGCTTTAGGGAAGGCGACCGTCTCTCGCTCTCCTCCCTGCTCGGAGAACGCGTGGGCCGCCCACCGCTGCAGGCTGACTTTGGCAACTCCCTCCTTGGCATTGGGGAGGTGGTCTCCTCATCTTACTGGGAGGTCTCGGCTTGAGGTGCCGCAGGCTGCTGTTAAACCTGAGTCTGGTGAATACTTACCTGGTTCTTCTGTGAACCCTGAGACTTGTCTTACTAGCTGCTCCCTGAAGATCATCAGGCCGCTGGAAGCCCAGCTTTTCACACTGCTGACAGGCAGACATTCAACCGAAGCAGAAGAGGAATGAGGTAACCGTAAATGTAGTAACCAATTCAAGTGGGAAATGCGGGATCCTGCATCCACGGCTTGACAGACTGACTTGTTGGGGTGCCGTTTCCTCTTGAACCACAAGATGTCAGTGCAATCGCTAAACAGTCATGGAAAGATGCAAGGCGTGGTGGGAGCGTTTGGCCAAGAGGACCGACTGCAGTAGGGAGCTGAATAGTCCTTGAGTCACTAGCAGGATTAATGGGTGTGTGTGTGTGTGCACATGCACATGTGTTTATGGGGCAGCATTACACTTGAAAATGATTGGAAAGATTGCAAACTGTTTAAGTTCCTTGTTCCCTTTTCTCATCCTTGGTTTTGCCTGTCTGTTGGGATTACTTTGTAGATTGGAAGATGCTGCCTTTTTGGAAGAAGGAAAGGTCATCAAGCTTATTAAGTCTGTTGAGATCACATTTACTTAACATAAAGCCGCTCGCACCTAATTTTCAGTAATATTACTCTATACTGGGTATCCTCCTGCCCTCTCAGTGTTGTCTTTAAATCAGCTGGTGCTAAAGAAGCAGGTTCTTTGTGTTTCTGCTTGACATGCGCTATCTTTAGTCTTTGTGCTCCTTTTCTGGAAGGCTGGCTTGACTGGAGTAACCAGAGCTGATTTCTTAATTCAGCAGTGTTTTTAACGCCAAGAGCAGCGCAAGTCCTTCCTCTTGGAATCCAGTCGAGGGTTTGCCGCCCAAAGCAGTTCTCCTCCCTCCACTAGCGGTCTCCAGAGAGGCTGCAGCCCCCAGCCACCATCACACCTGAAGGCACCTGTTGGGTGAGGCTGGTTGAAGGCTGAGCAGACACTGCCTCCTGGAACCACTGGCCTGTTTTCAGGATTTGGTGACCCTCGTGGTCGAAGGAAGCAATGGACTGAGAAAGAGGGAAGAAGTGAGGAGGGCCAAGGCCATGGCTTCCCGTAACCAAGATGAAAAACTGATTACAACTGCAGGTATAGCCGTGGCTGCAAGTGTGGTTCCCGTTTGTGTAAAATCAGGCCATTGACAGCATGTTCTTGAAGAGTATAGGGGTTAAAAAGCCAAATTTCTGAAATAGTTTTTCTGATAACTTGACTCAACTCTTACGAGGTTCATAAATCATACTAAGCCATAATTTGATTGATTATGGTTTGACTTAAGTTTACACAGGGCTAAGCCAGAAATCATGGTTATTACATCATAGTACGCGTTAGCATGATATGTTGAAGTTTAATTCCAGGAGTAGAATAGCAATTTTTGCAATTCTCTTGATTACTAAAGTCATTTATTTAGAGCTGCAGATGAAGTAAAATAAGTTCTGGTTCAGCAATAAGGACAAATTAAGACATCAGAGTATGTGAGTGAGTGTGTGTGTGTATTTTTTTAATTAAGAATTTTCATTATAATAGTAAAATTTAATATAAACTAAACTTAAAAGCGAATAGAGAAGTAAAATGTGCAAGGAAAAAGAAAAAAGCAATAATATAATAAAGAGAAAAATATAAAGAGGGGACTTCCCACCTTCATTATAAGAAGTATAAACAAATTTAGTAGCTTTTCACCCTCTCTAAAGTTACAAAGATGTATCTCTTCATCCCATATCCCATCTCTTATCCATAAATAAATCCATAAAACATAATCTTTTCAGTCCTGGTGTCAGCAGAAAGTCCATAAAGGTAGCCAGAAGTAACATATTTTAATCTTGATCAAATAAACCTCCTTTATATTCCTTCCTTTTACTTCTAACAATCTTAATCTTTAGTTCATTCAAATATTGTTGTAGGATTTGATTTCTCTTCATTTCTTCTTTGTCCCATCATGCAGAGTTCTTCAAGGCCTTAACTAACCTCTTTTGTAAATCCAGTAGGAAAAAAAAAATATCCAGGTCACTCTCTTGGTTTGTCATTTGTATTTCCCTTTTAAATTTTAAAGCCTCACCAACTTCTTTTGTAGATCCACTGAAACATCCTTTTCTGTTTTAGCTTAGGAAGAAATACTGTAAAAGCACAGTCAGCAACTTGATGCAAGGAAAAAAATAATTTATTTGCTGCTCACCAGGTCTGCAATTCCCTTGCCGAGTCCCAAACTAGATGCCAGCTGGGATTTAGAGAGTCCCCTGTGTTTACCTCTGGCCACTGCTTCGTGCCCTTCTCCTATTAGTTCACGAAATCCTGCCTGATTAAAACAGCATAATTGAATGGAAAACGTCTCAGGTACAGTATTAAAATCAAGTTGGTATTGGGCTGCATAGCCTCCATTAAGAATCCCTCAAAAATGGTATTTTTTTACATTTTAAATGTAAATGTAAAAAAAAGTTAAAGTCTAAGAAATCCTAATCTTTTCATCAAACGAACCAACGAAACGGTTTAAACAAAGTTAACATTAACGTACTTCAGTTGTAGGAGAATACAGTATATCAGGCACTAATTAATAAGAAATATTTGCATATGTTTTGTACGATTTCCTGTGTATCGGAGTGATAATTATGAATTCAGCATAATCAAATTGACTTGTTTGATCTTGGTTTATTTTTTTCCTGAAGAATGAATTTATATGTTCTGATTTAGCAATATAAAGCCATTTCATCCATTCCTTCCTTATTAAATGCGTCTCTTCCTTCCCCGCTTCTGCCCCCTCCCAAATACCTTTGGCTAATAAGTTGGAACAAAAAAATAAATACATTAAAAGGATTTCCGCCTCATGTCCTCTGGCAAGTGCCTCCAAAACTGAAATGTAGGAAATCTTAATTTTGACCCGTGAGGCAACTGCTCCTGTGTGGCTGCCCCGAGAAAGTTTACCAGTTTGAGTAACGTCATTAAAAAGCTGCCAGAAACCTCCTGACGGGCCCGTTCCTGGCCCCTCCTGACGACCGGTCCGCCTGCGCACAAGAGGGGCAATTCCTGCGCGCTGTCCCTGCGCTCACGGCTATTTTAATGTTGCTGGTCTTTGTTTCTCCTTTTGAAGCGCAGATAAATCTCGTTCTCTGCTGTTAAGAGTGAAACGTGCTGCTTATTTCATTTTGCCACCAGCATCTTCTGCTTTCTCAGTCAGACGAACAGCTCTGTGTGTTGGCTTGCCCTGTCGAGGAACTTTAGCCCTTTTCCCAACTGCAGAGCATCTGGGGCTGAAACAGGAACAGGGAAAGTCTGTTTCTCTGCTTCCACTCACAGCTTCCCATCTCTGGCCAAATGTGACACCCAGACGCTTTCAACATTAGGTGGATGCAGTTCGTTTTCACTTAATGCAAGTGGGGAAAGTCTGGCGGGGTGTCTCTGCTCTTCCTAGTAATTAGAAGGGTGATAGGGAAAATATAGTGCTTCCAGCTGGCCATTCATTCCCACAAAACGTTCAGAACTCCTGAACAATGTTCAACTGAGGGATTTTAATCCAATATAGGTAAGTTGTGTCTAGATTCTAGACTTTCTGTGTCTGCTTGGAGAAAGATCAGTACAGTATCTTTGGTTTTATTTGTCATCCACGTCTTAATCTGTGGCAGTCACCAACTAGTCAACTCTGGGTGTGACAATTAAAACTCATCCGGGTGGTAAGACCACCTTCTAAACGTTTTACTTGCTCTTTTAGCCCTCCAGAGTTGGGCTAGGTGATCAGACCTACCTTTCCCCTGACCAAAATGGTAGTCCATAAAAGGGAGACAGTTCTGATTTGTCTCAAGCCGTCATTATCATGTAAGGCATCTCCTTTAGATATGACCATCTCATGACCAAAGACATTCTGTGGAGGACCAACACGCACGCACACATACATACACACACCCCCCCCAACACTTTAAACACTTTTTTTTGTTAGGGCATTCAGAAAAGACGTGCACACAGCCACTACAAACTCCAGCAAAGTGTAGGAGTAAGGAACAGCAGCGGAGCCTTTTAAAGTCTCGCAATTCAAATTAAATATTCAAAGTTCATACCGTCTCTGGAATGCTTAAATGATGCATTCCCCCACCGTCGTCTTTTTAGACCTTCTACACACAGCGTCATCCTCAACCCGTATCCTCAGTGGTATCCGTAGTATTCCGCCCCCCAGAACCTGCTTTGATGACGTCTCTTCTGTGGTGGATTTAGGAAGGCAAGGTGCAAGGGCCAGAGCAGTGTTTCTCAACACTGGCAACTTGAAGGCGGGTGGACTTCAGCTCCCAGAATTCCCCAGCCGGCGTGCTGAGTTGTAGTCCGTGCATCTTCAAACTGCCACGGTTGAGGAACCCTGGGCCAGAAGGGGGAATCGAAAGGGGATTCGGAGCCGCGGGTCCTGCTCACGTGCAATTAGTGGATGGGGGAAGGGAGGGCGAGGAGCACCGTGACCTCCCGCACCTGCCGTGCCCCGGGTGGCTCAGGACACGTGCTTGGGCAACAGACACTAGAAAGCAAGTGTGACTCTCCTGATACCCTCTGAGTCCCCCGTGATGGAAGCGGCATGCTCTGGGAATGCCCCTTGATAGCCCTCGTAATAATTCACAGCCATGTGGCCCACCCGGGTTCTCACACGACGCAAAACGGATCCAAGGGCAAGGGTTCTAGAAGGACTCTGGAAAGGAGCCTGAGTCGCTTTTAACACACTCTTTGAAATGAGAAGAGAGTACAGCCAATGATTAGGAAAGGTTTATAGCTAAACCATTTTATTGAGTTGCTTTTCCCAAAATAGAAACAAAAATAAATCTCCCACCAAGCTGAAAGGCCACAGGCAGAATTAAACCAAATGGACCAGCCACTTGGTCACAGAAGCTGTTAAGTGGTTCAACTGTTGGTTACTGCAATACCCCTGGCTCATTTATTCGCCTCCCCGGGTCAGGAATGCCACTGACACTGCCAGATGCAGTCGCGATGCTTGCAGAACACACCAGGTGTGGACATTTTACAGTGGGCTGCCCGTTTAGTCCAACACTCTTCCTCGCATCCGAACCGAGCCCGGACTCGAGGGGGCAGGTGAGGGGCTGAGCCCCTTAGCTCCCCTGTCCAGGGCTTTTGTTTTTCGTCTTTCCCTTTTGCTGAACCGGGCTCAGGAAGGATGGCCTAAGCCTTAGGCTCTGCTCCACCTAAATACGCACCCTCGGCTTTAAAAGCCCATCGCGAGGAATGAAATCTGAGCCGCAGTAACATCTCCTTTGCTTATCCTGCCCTTCCTTTTGCGATCGTTGACCAAAAGTTATAGGTACGTGCAAAAACCCTTTCCCTTCACAGCCCTTTGTAACAAACAGTACAATGATTTGTTTTGAAAATATTGACTATTTAATGTATACAGCAGAGGTATTTCTGCAGCGTCAGACCCTCTTCTGCTGCCGGAAGCAGAGCGTCTGCGGCCTTCGCGGCTGGGCCCTGGAAAGCTGGGCGGGCCTCCCGGCAGCCGTTCCTGATTCAGCAGCGGCCGAGAGAGCGATCCTTCCCCTTGAGGAACCTCTGCCCGAGACTGCTCAGAGGTTGAGAAATCTAGCTCACCGATTGTGAATGATTTATTCACCTGCTTTACCTGTAAATGTGGTGGTGGTAAGTGGAGCGAGCTTTTTAAAAAGGACTTTATTATATTCGTATCCCTCCAAGGAATTGAGAGAACACCGATGGGAGTGAGCAGCCCAGGTTCGCCTCCACCTGGAGGGGATACGGTCTTAGCTCCTCCAGCCCTCCTGTCCCAAGAGGTAGCCCACTGACCCCTGAAGAATGTTTAAAAACGGCGTCAGTACAAGGTGCCTCAAAATGCTGGAAACCTGGTGTCTATCCGTACGGTATTCACCAAAAGGTCAGGGGTTTCATAAGATAGATTTCCCGGCACTTTTAGAAAGCAATGAGATACTCAGACAGCTTAGTTGGGAAGCTGTCATTTCAGAAACGGGATTATTTGGACCAGAATGACGCTGTTAAAATGCAGGTGGGTGATTGTTTGTTCTTTTGTAGAATAATAAAAATGGAAGAGATCAGTTTATTTAAGGAGCCCTTAACATGTGAATACTTATAGAGAAGCAAAGAATAGTATGTGGAAGTTTCTCCAAAGAAAAGCCATAGACAATTCTGAAGAAATTGTCCAAAATAGCAAAAAGTGTTGCCGCCTTTGGATTTGAAACAGAGAAAGAAGACATAAGTGAAGATCATGTTCACTCCTGACCTAGATAAAAAGGAGAGAGTTGCACACGGTGGCCGCCTTCTGTCCCAACATGGCAAATACATCACGGAGCTGAAGAATATTGTACGCTTCATATTCTTTGGCTGGTCAACCAATTACAATCCTAATGACTTCTGCTGTTGATGGATCTTGTTACATCCCATTTCTTCAGACAGAAGAAACAAGGATTTAATTGCTATGAATGCGGTCCTTGGAGGAAGGGAAAACATCATTCACCTAGCAAAACTTGATTTGTTGCTAGGCTAGCAATTTCAGGGAGGTTTTTAAAGCCATTGTTTTATTTTCAATACTCTGGTGACTGATGGTGGTGGTGAAAAGAAACAGAGGAGATGCTTTAAAGATGTATTGTCGAAGGCTTTCACGGCCGGAATACGATGGCTGGTGTGGGTCTTCCGGGCTGTGTGGCCGTGTGCTAGAAGTTTTGTTTCGCCAGCATCTGTGACCGGCATCTTCAGAGGGCAAGAAGATGCCCTCTGAAGATGCCAGTTACAGATGCTGGCGAAACGTTAGGAAACAAAACTTCCAGGACACGGCCACACAGCCCGGAAGACCCACACCAGCCATGCTTGAAAGACTTAGATCATTTTGCAGAATCAGAGAGAAAATAACACAGAAATATTATTTAAAGACCTTCATCTACAGACCCCCACACAGGCACACTCATTCACAAGTATAAAAATAGGTTCACTTCGGAGATCAAAACATTGATGCTGAATTTCTTGTTAATTAGTATAAAAAGAAGAAAGGGGTACCCATTTCAGCTTATTAAAATTGCAGAGCTCCTGTCTAAGGAACAGTTTCACACCCTGAGGGCGAGCTTGTGCTTCCTGATCGTGGTGATCCCTGAATGCGGGTGGGACGCAAGGAGTGGCTCCGGGAGGTCTCTTCCGCTAAGCGCTTGGCCTGGTGGAAGACCCACTGAAGGGAACGGGAGCGGCCCAGAGAAATGTCTGCCGTGTCCCACCAACTCCAGCCACGCAGGGGCAAGGCTAGAGGCCGGTGCTGGGCTAGAAGCTGACTTCTTCCCAGCTGCAGCCAAGATGTGTCTGCCTTGTCTTTGCTCAGGCGACCGCAGTAGACGGATTCCAGAAGCACCACTTCCTTTTCGAATGACGCTTGTGTAGGGCGAGCTCTTCCTTCTCTCGTTCCCTTTTAACCCGCTGGAAATGATCTTCTTCCTTAAGGTACCAAATGGGAGGCCAACGGTGTTTCTCAAAATATTCCTGATTATCTATGATAAACAAACAATACCTAGTAAGTGTAACGATATTTTGAATCTTCAAACTCTTAGAAACTTGCCTATATTCGTGAAGTCCGAATGGTTAGGAAAAGCTTGGTTTTTGGTTCATGGTTATCTTCATGGAAAAGATAACCATAGGAAAGTGTTATCTATCACACAGATTTCAGGGAATGCAGAATCTGAAACCTTGTGCAGATTTCTGGGGGGGGGGAAACTCGTTTCCCTTTTCAAAACTCCACTGAATTTCAAGCTGTTATGGGGTGGGCCTGAGAACATCTGGGATTTCCTGGTTGAGATGGAGGACATAGCTCTCTATCTACTTTCAGATATCGTATTCTCAAATAGAGAACCCAGAAAGAGGTGGTACGTTTATGAAAAACATAAAATGCTAGACTGACATAACTCAGAATGGACATTCCTAGTCTACAGAAGAGTTCATCAAAATGCTTGAAACTGAAACGTCCCAAACGCAGAATAGGATGTTTCAGGGCTGTATCGTTTCTGTTGCTAAATGTTTTGCATGCTTAGTTTTCAGGGATTCTGCAGCTATAAAAAAGGCCTTAGAAGTTATGTTATAATAAGCAATGAACCAAATAAATATCTGCAGGTTGGCGTAGGCTGAAACCCTTTCTTCGTCGCAGGCCTGAAGGAGGAGGAGAAAACGCAGATGTAAATATTGAGAGAAGGCGATGGAGAACGCTTGCCAGAAGCTCTTACCAGGAGATTTCATTTTAATTTCCTTCCGGAACTTCGAACAAACGCTGTTATAGTTAGTGCAGATGTAGTGCAGGCACCAGGCTGCCAGCTGCTTGGCATTGTGGAACTGGAAAAGAAGGACAGGGAACATTCTGGAGCCAAGGCAAGAGGACGTTTCGAGGGGCTGCGCCACCTCCACCGCACACGCATTGCCTGGTGGGAGCTCTTGGCGACTTGGTCTGAATCAGACGCTGGGAAATTTGGAAGACGGCTGGAGCAGGGGCTGGTTCCCTCTGCTCAGTTAGAGGAACTCCTAACAGCCCACGTGGATCGTTCCAAGGGGCACTTTATGGCAGAACAGGGGGAACGGGCTTCGCCCTCTGTTAATCGTGGAGGGAACAGTGCGAAACTGATGGACCAAAAAGGGAGGGACTTCGTACCATGCGAGGACTCTGGGAAAACATCTCCCAACCACCTCTTGGGTATTTGGGACTGAAATCCCCACCGCTCACAGTCATCCCAGCCATGCTGACCATGAAAGATGTACTTTGCAGTCCAGAGCAACCAGGCTGTCATGTTTGTCCCCATCTCCAGCTGTAAGGAACCTGGAATCTGCCTTTGCAGGGGAGAATCGGGATGCACGGGAAGAGTTCAGTATATGTTCTCATCCTGCTTGCTGATCCCCCCCCCGCTCCGCAAAGACACACTTCATCTCACTGAAGACTGATTGGAAAATGTGTCTGTCAAGGTGTTGAGTAGCTTTTGTACTCCGAGCTTTGGAAAAGGAGCAGCAAGATGAGAAGCAGCAGCAATACTGGGGACATCGCTTATGCGTCTCCAGCCCATTTGCGATTGTCATCCCAAAGTAATGTTTAAAAAAGTATGAAATCTTCCCTTCATCCATGGGGAAGAACTGCATATACTCTCCATGCATATATTCTTCTCCAGAAGAAAGAACGTTTTTTACAATGTCACAGGCATGAAAAATATTTGCAATAGAGTGACACCGACCTGGGCGATTTCCAAAATGTACAACACTTCTCCATCTATGCTAACGCCGCTCATGGCCGTTCTGGTGAGCGCCTGCACCGTGTGTTGCTCTGTTGCGGGAGAGAAGCAAAGACCGCCTGCCCTGGTAAAATGGCTCCCGCGCGTGTGCTTCACGGGAGGCCTCTCCCTGCCCTGCCCTCCCGTCCAGCCTTGGTCACTGCTGCTGTCGCCACAGCCGAGGAAGGCGCGCTCTGCCTGCTCGCTCTCGTCCAGCCCCTTCTCTCTGAGACGAGGGGCGGTGGGAGGGGATAAATATCACGACAGCTAATTCCAAGAACACTAACACAATAATTAACAAACTCGGGCTGGAGTAATAAATGGAACTTGGGCTGCTCCTTCCTGCAAGATTTGCTTAAACTCAATTGCTTAAGATGTTATTAGGCTCTCAAAGTGGAGATTTACAATGGAAACTTTAATATTCACACTCTTTCAATTAAGAATAATCAGGCTGCCTAAAGGGCATTATGAATTGCAGCCTGTTATTTGCTTTTGGTCTCTCAAGCAGGCACGCGCGTTTCCAGGGGGCTCAATTAATTCATCACGGAGAGATGTGGAGGGAACACTACGTTTTCCTCATTGAAAATGCATATTGCATTTCAGAAACAAAGTGGCCGAGGAACGTGGCAACGAGCAGGGCTAATCCCTCCCAGACCCCTGGCAGGAAGGGGAGGGCAACGGGCTGAGGAGGCTCACCTGCCAGCGCGGCCAAGTGGGACAGGCACAGTCGGTTTGCCAGGGCGATTAATTCGAGGGGGTCCAAGTCCTGGCTGGCTGAGAGTTGCTTGGCGTACAGATAATCCAGGACTGCTTGCATGGCGGTCTTATTTATGTTGGGAAGAGCAACCTGAAAGGTTGGGGAAGGTATTTTTAAAACGTTCAGAGCGAGCAATAATCCAGTCCAGGATAAAGACGCCGAGCCGTATGGCTGTGCTATTTTTTGCCTGTGTTGTGAGATGTCTAAAAAAAGAGGGGAGGAGAATGGAGGAGGCTCCGTATGGCACGGAAGCATCGGCCTCCCCCAAGTGGGAGAAAGAGAGCACAGAAGAGACCCCAGACCCTTGACTTTCCAGCCCCGGAAAACCTGCTTCGGTCCTAATTCTGGGGGGTGAGTAGAGGGTTCCCGTGTGCTTGGAAGCGTGCCGTATCCCTGTATGGAGCTAGAAAAGTAATTATTTCAAAAGGAGATCTCAGACATAATCGTGGTGCATTTACTTCTATCGGAAAACAGGCAGGATTAAAATCTGCGTTAACGCTTGAGGCCGCCGCAATACACTGACCCAAGGCTGAGTTGCTCCCTAGTGAGCAATAGCTCTTCTTGTGTGATTTATAGTCGTGCGCGCCCGCACACACACACACACATGTTCTGCAGCTTACGGCTGTAACTGTACAAACAGTTCTCCCCACTGTAAATCTGCACTACAGCAAGCTTGCTAGTTAGGTGATTTACTAAACCATTGCTCAAAGCGTTGAACATAAAATATGGACGTGATCCCCGTTAATGAATCCCACTTTCAACGGAACGCATCAGCAGCAAGGGCAGTTTGTTAGACTACCAAACGTATCCACAATTATTATGATTGAAGATCCACTATCCCATCAATAGGAGCGTTATATTAAGCTAATACTGCCTTTTCACAATCTTCCTTCTGCATACAATTCTGCTTTCCTGTGGTTGGAGTAAAATTGGTTCTTTGGCCTTATGAAGTGTCTCGGCAGCACTTCAGCCATTTTGTTTTCGTTGAGTCATCTTGGCCTTCATCAGAAGTATTGCTTCATCAAGGCAATACATGAATCGGGATCTCATCTTACGAGAGGAAATCCAAGATGTTGGCCTACATCTTACCCTCTTTGTGCTCTCCGTGGTGAAATCGTTTCCTGGAGGCCACCACTAGGTGGCACTGGGAAGCCATTTCCATATCCTTGCTAAGAAAAGGACATGTCACTTTTTAACGAGATGACAAATTTGATAGATAGATAGGTAGATAATAAATAAATAAATAAATAAATAAATAAATAAATAAAGGTTATGTCCATGAAGTCAGCGGAGCTGAGCCCAACTCCAAGGAGACAGAGCCTGTACAGACAGAATAGATGAAGGTTATCTGCTATACCTTAAAACATCAACGGCAACCAATTTGAGGGGTGCTGGTAGATACATTTCAAAGTTTGAGAAATTATCATGGATGCCCAAAGTGGCTGTCCTGGAGGTGAACCTGCAGTGCAACATGTAATGAAACAGTTCTCAGAGGAAGGGGAGAAGAGGATGCTCTGGACATCTGCTGCCTCAGAGACCTGACCATCCTATGCCAGATGCTCCCAGATCTGCCTGGAACACAGATAAGTCTTCTAATCAAAATGCAGCCGCGCAACCTGAAGCCAGCCCCTGACTCACTTTTAGAAAGAGCTGACCCTCCCCCAGCTGCTCAGCAGCAGAGGAAACAGTGGCTTGACAGCAAGTGATGGAGGTTTCACGGAGGAAGAGAAGCCGCCACAGATCCGGAGAGAGAGAGACTGAAAGTGGGCAACAAAACTCCCTTGATAATTCAGTTTTGCTAGACGCCAGTCTGGTCTCTTTGCTGGTTTGTGTTCCCATGCCCTCTTCTCATTTGCAAAACCCAAGACTTGGCTGACTCAAGGCCCCAATTTATGGCTCACTTCTAACTTATCCTCTTCATTCTCCCAACTCAGTGGCTAAACTACGAGCAGCAGAACTCTGACTTTCATCACTCACAATGATATTGTATTAGAAAGCTGCAGCTTTGGGCAGGACAACGAAGTCATTGTGAAGACGGGCAAGTCGGTTATGAATTCCCTTCAGGATGCTCATGAGACCCTTGTGCCAAGATGTCATTTGTGCCCCCAAAGAGCCGTACCCTGAACCCTCAGCTCCCTAAATTCTCATCCACTGTCCCTGCAGCAATTTAAATAAAATGTTGGACCTCTTGGCAAGTCCCATAGAAGTGTCCAAGTGAGAAATGGCACAACTGAGCCCCCACACTGCTGATTTCAGGGTCACGCCATAACCAGAAACACAAGCATTGCTCACCAAAACGAACAATGGGAAGTGCTTATCCTTAGTTTCATCATGTGTTCCCAGGTGCACGCATATCTGCACATAAGAGATACATGCCAAATGCCCCCACGAGGAAGGGGACTAAGCTAGGCTAGCTGATGAAGACGAGGAATGCAGAGGCACACCGTACACTCAAGGTCAAGGACGCTGCATTTTGGGGCTCTGCCTCTGCGTTAGCAATTTTCTGTCCTTAAGATAAACACCATGGAGCTAAAAATAATTCAGAGATGCTTTTCTGGGATGCTGATTATTTTTCAGCTCCTCGCAGTATTACCTTTCCTAGGACAACTGCTTTCAATAATTCTGCAGTGTTCTTAACATTTTCAAAGTCATTTTCTCCAGAGAATCAATGCTTCTGCAGGAGAACACACAGTCACAGTGAAGAAACAGCAGAAGCTTCCTCAAAACATATCAATCCATCAGTGTTTTCCAAACTTTCCATGCTTAATGCACATCTTTCCCTCCTGAATTAAACCCAGAGGCCCAGCAGGGAGAACGTGTTGGCAAAGGGTGATCGCCCAGAGCTAACTTCTTCAAAGTCCTGTCACTCGCTGCTTCTCTTCTATTAAGGCAAACGGATCTTCTCCTACAGCAGAATCACATCAAATGGCCCCATGGCTGATCACAGAAAAACAGAGCAGGGCCAGATCTGGTTAGCCCTTGGATGAGAGGCAATCAGAAAATCCCAGAGTTATGTGTGCTTTGAGCCCAAAGTCTTCTTCCCCAGGATCTCCCCGCTAATGAAGTTAGCCCCTGCACAAAGTTCTTCCATTGTCCATGCAATTCAGCTAAACACAAAAATCCGTGACAACTGCTCTCCACAACCCACAAAGCCAGGGAGAACGTGTGCAGTTGCCACTAGAGGAGGGCAAAGAGCCACCATCTCAACAACGATTCAAGAGAGGAGGGTTTTTTTCCTTGCTGGCTGTTACAGAGACTAAGCACAAATGCCTGACTTATTGCTGCAAATAACCTGTTCTTCCTGCAGAATTTCAGAACAATAAATAAATTAGAAGGGGCTCATTATATTTATGTTGAACTGCCTCAATCTTTACATGCTACTCACATCTTGAACCAGCTTCTGCTCCTTCCACTGTCATCACTCTACCCGAACAAGGCAATGAGAGACGGTGGGCACAGAGAGCTTCATGTGCTATGAAAAAATAGGGCTTTGCAATTAATATTTAAGATTACCAAGAAGAATGTAAGTTATTAGTGTTTATAATTAGGAACCAGATTGTAGAAAATGAATATATATATTCTTGTTGTGGAGCACAGCTTACTGAATCAAGGTATGTATTTTTAATGAACCACCTGCTGGGAATGCCTCCGGGGAGGGAATTATGCTTACTGCTGTTTCAAAAGTAATGAGAATTTTTTTTTTTTAGTAGAACACAGGCTTCCAGAATATTAAGTATATAACGTGTGTGTGTGTGTGTGTGTGTGTGTGTTTGAGAGACAGCATTGCTGATGTGCATTATTTTCCCTTGATATGTGAGAGCATCCCCTTGACAATCTAGCTGAAAGCAAAGATCCAGTAGTTGAAATATGAGGAATAATTAGAAGATTATTTCAGATTGTGCTAAAAATTCATCAAAGCCGCTATCATGGCTTTGTGAGGTCATCAATACTGTATCACCAGAAATAAGCACAACAGTTTCTTTACATTCTGCTACTAATCTTTCAGTGTTCCACACCAATACTTCATGTCAAGGTAGAAAATGAGAATCGCTCACCGTGGTAGCCTGGTGACCCACTGATCTTTCTAACGTTTCACATTTAAGGTTGCACCAATTTTATGTGGAGTTCTGAAGCTTTACAAATTAGGCAGAATTAAAACGAAGAAGAGTTTAACCTAGATCTGCTTGGTGCTTGGCTTTTTCACTCCCCAGACTGCGAACTGACGGGAGACAGTGGCCAGCTCTCCCACCTCCGGCCTCCCCCACCACCACCAACTCCCCAGCTATCAGATGCCCTCAGGTATCTTCTGAGAACTACTGCAGAGGAGGACAGCGCTTAAAAGCTAAGGTAGGAGACTGGAGAAAAGGAATCCCCAAACAGACTTCACCAAGGATGCCTCAGAAGGGAGCCCCCCACGCTTTGAGCCCTTGAACGCCAATGCACGTTCCCCCCCCAGAGCAACGCTTTTGGTCTAGTTACGAACCAAAAAGGACAAATACCTCGCTGTTTGAGCTCTCCACAAACGATCCTCCAAACATTGCAGACATCCACTCACAGCTACAGATTAGTAGCGGTTTATGAGCATTTATCTTTCCATCTTCCAACACAAATGCCACATCTGTTAAGGGATCAAAGGAACAAAACAACCTATGACTGCTGGTGCTCGCAGCCAAACGTAAGAACCAGAAAGGAACATCGAAGGCAGCACATGACCTGCTATTTCACAGAATTTCTGCAAAGAGGGTTCTTCACTGAGGACATCCAGAAGGGCAAAAATTAATGTTTAAAGGAGAAACAGAGCAATTAAACTCTGAGTCTCCATCAGAGGAACAATGCCAGGAGTTCTTGCTTGCTGAGTTCATCAAGAGCTTCACTGGCAAAAGTTAAAATGGGTCAAATTTATCAGAGTTTTATAGGTCATGTAAATGCAGGGAGACATTAGTAGTAGTATTAGTAATCATAGTATTTATATCCTATCTTTTCTCCAGGAGCTCAAGGCGGCTTAGACGCGGGTCTCCCTTTGTTCTTGCCTGCAATCCTAACCCTGTGAGTGTGAGGTTGGGCAGAGTGTGGATGGCCCAAAGTCACCCAGGGGACTTCCGTGGCTGAGGGTGGACTTGAACTTGGTCTCCCCAGCCACAGTCCAAGACCTTCAACTGCTGGCTCTCACATTAGGGCTTCTTAACCTTAGTTGCAAGATTCCGGATGGCCACTAGATGGCAGACTTTCGTAGTATTTTCCACATCCTTCTGCTGCCATCTAGTGGTTGTCTGAACTTCAATAACCCAGCTCCTGTCGCCCGGAACACCTGGCATTGAATTATGCTCCAGCCTACCCTCCCATATTCCCCTCAAATGGCTCCGTGTCTCACAATTCATCGAAGAGAAGCACAGCCTCCCAGCAGAGCAGCTGTGTCATGGTGGGAAGACTCTGGTGCAGGCCAGAAGGGCCGGGAGACCCTCCTGTCTGAAGAACTACTGCCAGAGAGCCTCTTGAGCCAGATGGATCACGGTTTGGCCTGATAAAAGGCCTTTCCCATGCGCTGAAGGCGAAGGGCTAGAAACGTACATACTCTGGACTGGTGTCCAGGCAGACGAAGCAGCCTATGTAAACAGTTGGAGGAGGAGGCGTGCATTCTTGGATTGTAGTTCTGGGGGTGGGAGAATAAAAGAGGAAGGGGAAACAAAACTGGATGGAGATGAGGCAAGAGGAAGAAGGCGCTGGACAGGGAAGAAAGAAAAGAGAGGGAGCCCCATCTGGTTGTTAGCAAAGGAGCGAAAGTTCGCCAGGACCCCAGTGGAGGTGAGCCTGGTCACCCCCAAGGTGCCTCGGGGAGCTGCTTGTCAAAAGCTCCCAGGCCTCCTGCAGCAGTGCCCACAAGGAGGAAGAGCAGCGGGTGGGGTGGGGGACGCCTATTCCTGCAGGTCTCCCACTGAATTTTAACCTTGTTCTAGGGCCTGAACAGGGCCAGACTG